GGGGGAAGGAGGAGGAAGAGGAGGAGGAGGAGAAATTGGAAACCTTACTTAACACTGGCTGGTTTGATCTCTGATAAGCAGAATGCATATAAAGAAACAGGAACGGTTCTGGTTTGTATAAAGATGTCCCCCCAAAGCCCCCTCAATTTTAGATTGGGTTTTTTTGGAGGCAGCTGAATCTAGAGTGATGGACTGATTTTGTAGTATAATGCAGGCTGTGAATACTACACCTGCCCTAGGGTGGGTAGCCTGCATACAATATAAGGGACAGAAAGACGCTTTTCCACTCTCTGCCTTGTTGCTTTTGCTGTCATCTGCAGCCATGAACGGCTGCCCTTCTGCTATGTGCCACCCTGCCTTGGAGCCAACTGAGTATGGACTGAAACCTCTACGAACTATAGAGGTAAATAAACCTTTGGGTGGTGGGTATTTTGTTTAAGCAGTAAGAAAAGGAAGTAAGACACAGGGAGTATTTTAAAAAGAAGGTAAAAAAACTAACTTTACCAGGCAAGTGCATGCCTGTAATCCCAGCACTTGGGAGGCTGAGGCAGAAGGACTGCCTTGAGTTCTAGGGCAGCCTGAGCTACCAAGTGAGTTCAAAGTCAGTCTAAACTGCACAGCGAAAGCCTGCCTTAAGCTGGGCGTGGTGGCGCACACCTGTAATCCCAGCACTTGGGAGGCTGAGGCAGGAGGATCATTGCAAGTTTGAGACCAGCCTGGGCTACCAAGTGAGCTCAAGGTCAGCCTAAACTGCATAGTGAGACCCTGTCTCAAAACCACAAAAAAAAAAAAAAATCCTGTCTTAAAAAGACAACAAAACACCCAAAGAACTAACTTTGTAACCCATGTCTATTCACACAATAAATTACTCTTATTCTGCAACACAAACCACCTGCTTAAGAAATGTGTTAAGCCAATTGTGATGGTGCCTGCCTATAATCCCAGCATTCCAGAAGGCTGAGGCAAGAAGATGGTACGTTTGAGCTCAGCATGGGCAACTTAAGAGAGACTCTGTCAAAAAATAAACAAAGAAAAAAGAAAAAGACAGGGGATGGATCTCTGTGTGAAGGAGCTGGACCTGATCCCCAGTACTGAGGCGTGGGGACACATACATACGACTCCGTGTCAGTTTCCAGGTAATTCTTTCATCAGCAAGGCAACAAGTTCACAGCCAGGACAGGGAAGCCACCTTTGCTCTGGCGGAAGTCAGCTGCACTCATCACTCTGGTGGACTGTCACCCAAATCTATGCCGTCGACTGGGAACTTGTCAACAAAGCTGCCCTACTGGCGGTGAGTAACCTCTTTGAGGGTGCAGGTCGTGGTCACCATGCTGTCCACAACGACCAGGGCAGCAGGTGCTGGTGAGGAGGCCAGGCCACTTCCCCTGGTGAATGGGGTGCCGCAAGGTGCCTCACTGCAAGGGTGGGAGGACAGGACAGGACAACAGAGCTGGGCAACACCGCCACTCAACACTGCAGCCCAGGAGAGGACTGAAATTAAGTTGTGTTCACCGGGCAAGCCCCTTGTCACCCGCTAGAGGAAAATCCTTAGCTATGACTGCCCAGAGGATATTTCTAAGTCATTAGGCTATGTCAGACTCAGACTCACTAAACACTCTTAATTAGAAAAAACAAGTTCTGATATTAAACTAATTTTTCTAAGTGGTCGTGCTGGTCCACCCCTGTCATCCCAGTGCTTGGAAGGCTGAGGCAGGAGGATCACTGTAGGTTCAAGTCCAGCCTGAACTATACAGTAAGACTGTCTTAAAAATTAAAAAAAAAACTAAACCAGTAACAAAACCTAACATTTACAAAGAAGAGCTTTCCTGAAATTTAAAACATTTCCTAGAAGAACTTTTCAAGTATCTTTCAACTCAACTGAGAGTGGTGGCACATGTGCAGAATCCCAGCACTTAGGAGGCTGAAGCAAGAGGATCACTAGGAATTCAAAGCCATTGTCTTAGGGGATAAAATCAGTTTGACAATTTATGAATCAAAATGCACAAGATATTCATTTTTCTAAAGGGATAATAATAAGATGAAATACTGACTCTTCTACACTGGCCTTCTAGAGGTTTTTCAAACTATAATCATAAAGGTGGAGCCTGTGCTTAGCCTGCCTGAGGCCCTGGGTTCAACCCTGAGTGTCACGCACAGAAATTAACCATAAATAATTTTTCAAAAAATTTTCAGATCCAGAGCACTAAAGATGACAACAACCTACACCCTTTGCAGTGAAAATGTTCCCGACCTTTCTCCACTCTGCACACAAGCAGCACCTGGCCCTGGGCCCTCCTAAACACGCTTTGCTAAGGCCGCATCCAGCTGCAGCTCTATGCAGTGTGGACCCAGCTCCCCCGGAGCCTCAAGCGGAAAGG